GAGCTGCACGAGGAACAAGGAGGTAGATACATAACTAGGGCGCTGAAACTGCTTTGTTGGCAAATGAGGCTGACTCCACAGGCGTCACATCAGGAAATGACAGAACAGAGGGACAGGTCTGTGACAGAGGGCCAGGTAGATCCTGGAAAAAGACTGAAAGTGGGATTCCTCTGATGATCACCCCGATAGAAACGCTTCACTAGGATCGGAGTTACTGAGTCCTGCCTGCTCGCAGGGGCCCTCGTGCCACTCGCTCAAGAGTACCTGTGTCGTAGGATTTGGAGCGAAGGGTTTGGTCACTAACCCGGCGACCTTCTTTTTCCTCCTGCTGAATTTAGTATCTGCTAAGGTTACCTACTTGTCTGCTGACGCAGAGCGAACGCTGTGAGCGCTCCGCCAGCGGAGGCCCGCTTTGTGGCCTCCCTCGGAAAGTGCGTGGCGTTGTAAAAATGAAAACAGAAGTGGGACTGGCCCGTACGGGGATCGAACCCGCGACCTTGGCGTTATTAGCACCACGCTCTAACCAACTGAGCTAACCGGCCGGTCGGCAACCTGTCATTCAAAAATTTAGTAGAAGGAAACCTTAGTCTTAATTTTGCTTTTTAGCTGCCAACATTGTGGTGCATCCCAGTAGCTGAACTCGACCACACCGAGCTGGGCTTCTTTTTCCCTTGTTGGGCCTGTAGTTTCGACGCAGCAGCTAACCGGAAGATAACAATAGGCTTCCTTCTCTTTCTGTGCTCTCAAGATAAGATGATCTCTGTCCTGAAGTCCAGCCAGACACTGAAGATGGCTGTTAATTTAATGAATCCTGGGCAATTCTCCAGGTTGCCCATCTTCGGCCTCTCCATTTTCTCTTTCAATTTTGTATCAGAGATACCCCAAAATACTTTAAAGCAATCTAATTTCCTTCTCTACACAGGGAGTTCTATACATAGACGCTAATAAAACACTGTACCAGATTAACGAAGAGCAGCATTTAGCACGAAACGAGAAGGCATTTTTAAAATATAACTTCTGATTAAGTAGGTATAAAAGAAGCTTGGAGATGCCGGGGATCGAACCCGGGGCCTCATACATGCGAAGCATGCGCTCTACCACTGAGCTACATCCCCTGCCTTGCAGGCAGCCGTTTCACTCTTCTCCCCAACTTTTTAAATCCGACTTTTCCCTTCCACAATTTTAATGTTTTTTGCATGTTAAAGTTAAATTCTCCTTTATTTAGTCAGAAAACACCTTGAAATGGTTGATGGTACATTTGTCAGAATTCCAAGTGGAGAAAACCTTGCAGCCATCGGACCCTTGCCAGTGCTGAACCTGGAGACGCGCGGATGGAGCTACATGCCGGAAACCCGCCCGAGAAAACGAGAGTGGAGCTCTCCCTTACAAGCTTACTTTTTGTTTTCTTTTCTCCAAAGACAGCTGAAGCCCGGCACAAAATAAAACCGTTTCCTCTGTCCCTCATTAGCTGTCCAAAGTGCTGCGGGAAAAGGTGATTTCATGAAGCCTTTAAAGCACAGCATCGGATCGGCTTCTTTTTGAAAGTGCTCTGCTGGGGCCCAAGGGTGGAATGTTTGAGCTGCTTCTCCGGAAAGCTCAGGAACTGAAGGCCAGCGTTCTTGACCGCACTGAGTTCCATGCAGTCCAGGATGTGTTTATATGCACTATATACAGTATCTGTACATATACTATAGCCTATAGAATTCGGGCGACATTCTCATCAATGTAATAGGATTGACATCGGTCTTAAAGAAAACCCTGGTTGTGGTTGAGTTTCTATGTTTATTAGTGCTAACAAGTACTTTCTGAATGAGTACCTTTGAACAAAAATGACAGGAAAATCTTCTAAAATGACTTGCTCCTTCTAGTTCACATTAACTTAAATATAGTTAATATGAGTAACTAAACTTGTGTGAGCCCGGATAGCTCAGTCGGTAGAGCATCAGACTTTTAATCTGAGGGTCCAGGGTTCAAGTCCCTGTTCGGGCGTTCCCGTTTTACTCTCACAAAATAGAAAGAAAAAAATAGTAAGGTGCTTGGAAGCCACGGCGCAGGAAACATTTCATTTCATCTATAGTAGTAGTAAAAGTTTTAACAGTAGTCACCGTGTATCAAAGGTCAAACTTTGTTCTTTAAGAGCAACGAAAGCTTGAAACGGCTCCCTCGCTGCCTCATTACTGTGCTCGTTTCTAATCACCTGTTTCGCTCAGCCCTGCGGATGCCCAGGTAAACTGCACGTCGGTAGTGGGGCCAGTACTCACAACGCCTGGCCTGGTGGCTTCCAAATTTCTTTGGCCAGGACCAGTTTGAAGTTTAGTTTACTTCTGCACCCAGAAATACACAGGTTACAGGAGCAAAGGTTGCTTAAATTAGCACTCACTCTTCCACATGCCCTGCATTCTGCTGTTCCAGATTCTGATTCTTTAAAATGCTGGGTTCTGCCCGCCATTACATTGATTTCAGGTCCTCCTCCTTGGAAAAATACCCGGCTGTAGGGTAACCATGAAGATGAACTGTAACATGGTATAGGGCGATGGGTGCTCTGCTGAGTAACCTGCCTGCTCCACCCCTTCTCCTAAACCCGAGTCCCCTGTCCTGGAGTGACCCAAAGACTCAAGTCACCTAATGCCCGGGCACTGACATTTTCCCTGCCTTGCTTGGCAGCCCTTGACTTCACTTGGTAATTGTTCAAAGCAGAGACTTCATCCTAATGCATCCAGCAGATAACAGAAAAATTAGATTTTTTCTTGCTGTTAAAAATCGCCAAATGAGCACTAAACCAGTAGAAAAATAAAGAACATCTCCTGACTGGACCGATCAGCCAACAGGGGGGTTGAAGTTAAAATTGCTAGGAAATAAAGGATATGATATCTGTTGTGGACAGCTAACCCAAGATTCTGGAGCAGGCCTGTATAATCTATACATTCAGTTTTCTTTTTGACTCTTGCTTTATTTCCTTCCTACCTCACAGATAACATGAGAGGCCAAACACTTGCTGTAATAGTTGTTTTCTTTTCCTCCTTAGTTCTAACTGTAAAGATAAATCTTTAATTGACTGCCCTCAGATATTGCCTCCTGGTTCAAATCTATTTTTCAAGTTGTACTTAGCATTTTACTATTACAGAAAATTTTGCTGTTACAAATTTTTGTTCGTTCTGCACAGCTTTGTGTTAGAAAGACACCCCTCTGTTAATGGTTACTCAACATTTTTTAGGTAATCACTAAGGTCTATGAGACTTCATAATGAGAAACTTCCAGAAACTACAGAAGAAACAAGCAAACGAAAGAACAAAAACGACAAAAAAAGAAAAGAAAGAAAATACAGAAGACGCATGACTGCCCCTAAAGAAACGTGACAGTCAAGCTTTCCTCTGTTCTGGCGCTCTCGTTGCTCACACGTGGGCTCAGGCTCCGAAAAACCCACTTTTCCTCCTACATGGGACATGACCCTCCATGACGAGCCTTCCTGGTGACGAGACCTACGATGTCATGATTTGCCCAAGATAAGCCACCTGCCAATGGAGAACTAATGCTGCTTTAATAACTGATGAGTGCTGCTTTCCAATAATTGATCAGTGAGATTTTCAAGGAAAAATCTTATTCAAAAGTGGAGGAGAATGTAAAAATAATACAAACGGAGCCACTTCAAAATGGAGTCGTTTTGCAACTACCTTGCACGTCTTATGCCTCAAACCTTTGGACATTAAAACAGGACAACACACTCTTAGGTCTAGGTCCAAATCAACACTGGGCCCCAAAGAACTGTTTGCAAGGAAGACGAGGAAGCAGATATAATGGCAACTGGATTAATGATTACTGAACTGGAAATTAAAAGCACTGTTTGGAATAAACATCCCTATTTAGCTTACCTGGACCAATAGCAACACCTTCCTTCTATTGATATATCAATAATTGTTCCCCTTCCCTTTCTCATACACAGCCCTTGCCTTTGTCTCCTAACGAGAACACTATCTGGGCTTCTGCCTGAACTGGCGCGTCCAAAATAGCGATTCTTATTGAGTTTAAATAAATACTTGTTGACTCTCACTCTGGCCTTTTACTTTTAGGATAACATACCTGAATTGATGGGCTGAACTCAATTTATCTTTGTCCCAACGCAGCACTTCATGTAATCAACCCCATCGTGTCACCTAAAAGAAATTTCAGCAGGTGCAAAAACAGTAATAATAAAATTACTAATATCTACATTGTGGAGGAGGGGCTTTCCGTGTGATGGGCACCGTGTTAAGCATTTTTGCAGAGATTAACCTGGGGACCAGTGAACTTGGATGAGAAAAGATTAAAAAATTATATCTTTAAAATCTCTAACCTCTGAAATTTAGCATATCCTTCACGTATAAATGTACAAATTACAGTCGGAAGAGTAGTACCTGTGGCTTTGTCACATACACAAAAAAACGCAGATATTATCATGTCACAACACAGTTGTTACAAATTATCTCCTACTTAACTATTTTTAAAAGACAGATGTCCAAAGAAGGGTCTTGATGTTGAATTTTTAATGCATTACACTAATGAAGGTGCACACATATGACTATATTGCAAATTACACTATCTCGTAGTATAATTGGTTTTCTTTGTTACCTATGTCTTGATTTTTGTTGCTTTTTAAACTATAGTCTAGCGAAGGGCTCCATGCCCCGCCCCGAGGCGACCTCCTGGTTGCTGGCAGTCCCCTTTCCCCCGACTTTCTCTAAAACGGACGTGGGGTGAGGGCCCGGCACCGAAACCCAAGCCCGGTGTGCGAGGGCCCGGAGGGGCCGGATGACCGCAGGGACCAGAGGGACAATCCAGGGAGGGAACTTCACGCTCACAGCCTCCCCGCCGCCTGGGAATCCGCCTGCAATCCAGGCCCGCGGGCGCGCGGGGCACCGAGAAGACGGTCCTCCGAACGTCCCAGAGGGGCCCGGAAGTGCGTCCGCGCGGCGCGGCGTGCCCTGCAAAACTTCCGGGAAGCTGTCAACCGTCTCCCGAGTGACCAGGCCCGGGGAGCCGCTGGAGGCTGTAGCAGGGGAGTGCTGTCTGTTTTACGGGACCGCTGTGAGCACAGCTGAGAAGGAGCGAAGCGAGAAGGCGGCTGCGGGGGAGTATGTCCCTGGTCTTCCTCCCAGCCCTCCCAGGACCAAGGCCTCCTTTGGAGGGTAATGTGATTACTGAGAGTTCTGGATCGCCAGGCTGTTCAAGTCAGACCCAGATTCTCAAGGTGTTTGTGAACCAGGTTGTTGGTTCGTGACTTTACAGAAAGGAATGTAAACGCCTAATGGATCGGAAAAGTGGGCGGGCGTGTTTAAAGGCGGACTTAGGATTCCTAAGTTGCTCTTTCCCGCTTCAGGAGTGTACAGAAACTGTCCCTCTGACCTCATGTTGCGGGAGACGCACCGGCGCAGTGAATTCCCGCCATTTTCCTCCTGGAGTTTGTCCTCTCGTGCTCTTCGTCATTGGAAATCATCACTGTTTAGCTTGTAGAGTATTTTTACTACATGCATTTGAAGTGAAAGGGGGATAGTAATACTGAATTCATACTCATGAAGATAAAACCATGCGTGTAAATCATTGGGCAGACACAGTCTGGCAAACACAAGAAATACTGTAAAACTAATATAACTTGGTTGTGCATTTTAATTATTGCCTTAACCATTTATTAAACAACTTCCGTGCGGCATGTTCACATCCTTGCAAGTGTCATTACTTGTACAAGAAGCCTTTCCCCCACTCCTTGCTTGACCAACTTCTGTTTGTTTTCGTTTTGCAGTTTTTGTGTCAGAATGCCCCCCGGAAGCCCTCCCTAAAACCTGTCAATCTCTGGCCTCCGAGTTAGGCCTGTTGCGCACTCACAACAGGAAACGCACAGCTATATGTGGTATCTATCACTTGACTTTGGACTTTGAAAATAGAGAATGCTTATTTTTAATCCTAATCTGTTTGGCAAAAAAGCACAGAGAAATGTTTGCTCATAGAAAAAAATGGAATGGGCATCATGGAGCAGAAGGATGGTGACACAAAGCAATGAAGTAGGATATCCGGCAATTTAGTTGTGACCGTCTGCTAACGGGTGCTCCTCCTTTCACTCTTTCCCGCTCACAGCCTGCAGCCAGTGCCTCAGCCACACAGCCGGTAGACCGCCACTTCTCTGTTCAAAATTCTGAAGGCATCCCTCCTCAGAGAGAAACCACAGCCTGGAGAGGCACCCGTTTTCTGGCCCCTGCTCATGTCTGCATTCGTGTGAACTGTCACCCTTGCCCTCACTCCAGTTCAGCCACTCGTGCCTCCCAGTTCCTCCTCAGCACGTCTGTTCCACCCACCTCTGCATTTCCCATTCTCTTGGCTGGAGCTTTCCCCTCAGTCACATCTCTTGTTCCCCTACTTCACTAAGTGCTCTGTGGAAATATCACCTAACCACCCTATTTAAGTTGTATTGATTTCCACTTTTTTTTTTACCTAAGTACCCCGTCCCATAAATGTGTGTGTTCTCTATCTCACCCACCCCCATTAGAATATGAGCTTGGTGAAGGCAGAGACTTGGTTTGCTGTGCCCCCTCCCCTCTCCCTGGGCACTTGGACAAGTCTAGCATTGGAAAAAGGAAAGATGGTATAAGGTGGTGAAGAAACGAAGTTATTTGCATGTACAGAATCTATGGTCGTCTATGTAGAACACCCACAAGAATATACAAACATAAAAACTGATGAGAATTCAGCAAGGTTGCTGGATACAAAAATCAACTTTAGCTAAAAACAAAATGCAGTAACTACAAATATACTGTATGAAATAGAATTTAAAAAGTACATGTAGAGTCCCTAAGAAATATCAATAAAATAAGACATTTATGGAGAAAATTATAAAACTTTATTGAAAGAAGTTAAAGATCTTAAATAAATGGGTTCATAGATTGAAAGACTCAACATTGCAATCTATAAATTCAGTACAAACCCAATAAAATTCCAACACTTTCTTGTTTGGTTTGATTAACAACTTGTCAGTCTAGCTAAGCATGGCCAAATAGTCCTGAGGAAGAAAACTTTGGTGGAGGTGTAGGGGATGGAAGTTGGATTTGTCCTGAGATATCAAGGTCAGTTTCTAAACTTGTAGTACCCAGGACTGTAGCACTGCCAGGGGTTAGGCAAAGTGCCTGCATCATGAGTCAGAATAGAACCCCCCCACCCCCCCCAGAAACTTGATTTATGAAAGAGCCAGTGCTACAAATCAGTGAGGGATGGATAAACTTTTCAAAAAATGGTACCGGGACAAACACATCCATACGGAAAAAATACGATGCTGAACTTCTATCTCATACATTTCACAAAAATCAGTTCAGGAAAGACGCAAGGTAAATGTGAAAAAACTATACAACCTTCACAGGCTGTAAGAAATATGCGTTTGGGTAGGAAATGATCCCCTCCCATTGCCAATTTGTATCCAACTTTTTCATATACTTAAAAAAACAAAAAGTTACTTCCAGCAAAATCTGAGTAACAATTTATAAAATTTTACAACTTCCAAAATCCCTTCCTCAAAAGTCAACGACCTCTTCTGTTGCTGCTTTGAACAGGAAACGTTTCGGAAGGGACAGACATTTTGTATGAGGCACATAGCAGATTTTCACAGGTCAGCTCTGACCTAGACAAAACACCTGAAATCTGCAGGATCCACAAACCAGACAGAAATCTTGGATCTTCTGAGCAACACCATCTCGATGTCCTGCCAGAAATCCTGGACATGCGACCCCACACCGCCAGTTGCAGGGGTGCCACGGCCACTTCACGGGTCTCGTTTCAGGACACCAGGTCCATGCCGATGGCACTGGGAAAGAAGACAGGACGTCTGACTTCCCCGCAGTGCGAGGCTTTTGAGCAAAAGTGGCTGACATGTGCATGGAACCAAGAAAAACCTTCAAAAGCAAGGACAGAAAATCCTACTTCCCCCATTTCAATCGAGCTCCTAAACACTCTATTAGTGGCATTTGCCCTATCCACAAGAGACAGCCACAGTGTCTTGTGTGCTAACAGCGTAATTTAAAAAAACCCTACATTTTAATAAAACAGATTTTAAAAATAGCATTTCAGACGGTGGAGTCATTAGAAGTACAGAACTATTTAAAACGTCCGCTTCACTTGTCCCCGGTGCCTTCTGCTCTCTGTGACTGGGATGCGGCGGCATCTCGGCTTCTCCCAGGGTTGTCACCATCCTTGCCACCACCTGCTTTCCCCTTTTTTCCTTTGGGCAGCTTCTCCCCCTTCTGTGCAGGGGCCTTTTTAGGCCTGGGCTCTGGTTTTGGAGGAGCAGGCTTAGCAGACAGCCGAGCCGACCTTCTCTGCGGCTCATCCTTCACTTTCACTTTGTCACCTTTGGCGTCTCCTTTTGCCTTTCTCTTGGGCATGGCGGCTGCAGCGCTGCGCCGGTGGCTCTGCTAGTCCAGGGGGTTCTTCTGTCTTCCTCACACTGCGCCTAGAGTTTAACAAGACACAAAAAGTGTAAACCATAAAGGGAAAGACTGACAACATTCAATTTGATTATATGAAAATTAATAATTTGGCCCTGGCTGGTGTGGTTCACTGGACTGAGTGCCGAGCTGAGAACCAATGGGTGGCCAGTTCAATTCCCAGTGAGGGCACATGCCTGGATTGTGGGCTAGGTCCCCAGTAGGGGGTACCCAAGAGGTAACCATAACTTTCTCTCCCTCTCTTTCACCCTCCCCCTCTATAAAATAAATAAGTAAATAATTTAAAAATTAATAACTTGTGTATATAAAAAAGACAGCATAAAATATAAAAAATAAGTTAAAAGCTGAGCAAAGATATTTGTTACACATATAACTGATGAAGGATTAGAATCCAGAATATATAAAGAATTCCTACAGATCCACGAGGAAAGGACAAAATGAGAATTTAAAAACAATGGGTAACTTCTGGCCAAGATGGGGGCACAGGTGGAAGCACCGTACCTCCACGCACAACCAAGATTGGAACAACAACAATTTAGAAATAGAATAACATCCAGAACTGACAGAAAATTGACCTGAATGGAAGTCGGACAACCAAGGAGCTGAAATAGACCTTTTCATCCAGACCGGTAGGAGGGGCGGAGACGAGCAGCCAGGCGCGGAGAGCAGAGAGAGTTGGGTGTGTAAGGCATCCGCGGCACGTAAGACCACAGCAGACTGACCCTGAGTGCGCAAGTGGCAGCTGGCAGACCCCAACTGAGGGGTGGCAACCGGCAGACCCAGTGAGGCCGCGATTGTAAAGCAAGGCAGTGTGCGAAACCCAGGATCCCAGCACTGGGAAAGAGAGCCTGGGGGCACTGATTGAGGACACCTGTGGGAATTGAGGTGCATGCAGAGACACCCAGCCTCACAGGAGAGGTCCTTGGAAGGTCCCACGGTGGGCAGAGGCCCACCCACATGGGAATTGGAACCAGAGGGGCCCAGTTTGCTTGGGGGAAGCAGCAGAAGGGACTGAGGTCCCACAGAGAATGGAGCAACTGCCATTGTTCCCTCTGGACCCCACCCCCACATACAACGTCACAACCCAGCGACTGGGGTGCCCAGCCCTGGTGAACACCTAAGGCTCCACCCCTCACTGTAACAGGCAAGTCAAAACCAAAAAGAGAGAGAGAGAGAGAGAGAGAGAGATGGCTGAAATAGAAGAACAAATCAAAGCCCCAGAATCCATCCTTTTAAGTGACCGAGAGATAGCCAACCTATCAGATGCACAGTTCAAAACACTGGTGATTAGGAAGCTCACAGAATTGGTTGATTTTGGTTGCAAATTAGATGAGCAAATGCAGGCTACGATAAGAGAAATGAAGGAAAATACATAGGGAACCAACAGTGATGGGAAGGAAACTGGGACTCAAAACAATAGAGTGGACCAGAAGGAAGAAAGAAACAACCAAACAGAAAAGAATGGAGAAATAAGAATTAAAAAAACGAGGAGCTTAGGAACCTCCAGGTCATCTTTAAAATTTCCAACATTCGAATTATAGGGGTACCAGAAGAGAAGAGGTAGAGCAAAAAGTGGAAAAGTTATTTGAACAAATAGTAAAGGAGAACTTCCCCATTCTGGCAAAGGAAATAGACTTCCAGGAAGTCCAGGAAGCTCACAGTCCCAAAGCAGTTGGACCCAAGAAGAAACACACCAAGGCACATCATAATTACATTAGCCAAGGAAAAATGGAGGAGAGAATCCTAGAAGCAGCAAGAGATAAGGGGACAGTAACCTACAAAGGGGTTCCCATCAGACTGTCAGCTGATTTCTCAAAAGAGACCTTACAGGCAAGAAGGGGCTGGAAAGAAGTATTCCAAGTCATAAAAGGCAAGGACCTACATCCCAGACTGCTCTATCCAGGAAAGCTTTCATTTAGAATGGAAGGGCAGATAAAGTGCTTCTCAGATAAGATCAAGTTAAAGGAGTTCATCATCACCAAGCCCTTATTTTATGAAATGTTAAAGGGACTTATCTAAGAAAAGAAGATAAAAAAAATACATGTATAGTAAAATGACAGCAAACTCACAATTATTAACAACCACATCTAAAACAAAACCAAAAGAAACTAAGCAAACAACTAGAACAGGAACAGAACCACAGAAATGGAGATCACATGGAGGGTTAGCAACAGGGGAGTGGGAGGAGGAAAGAGGGGGAAAAGGTACAGAGAATAAGTAGCATAGATGGTAGGTAGAAAATAGACAGGGGGAGGGTAAGAATAGTATGAGAAATGTAGAAGCCAAAGAACTTATAACTATGACGCATGGACATGAACTAAAGGGGGAGAATGTGGGTGGGAGGGGGTGTGCAGGATGGAGGGGAGTGAAGGGGGAAATGAGACAAATGTAATAGCATAATCAATAAAATATATTTAAAAACATTGGGGTGCAGATATCTGTTCAGAATAGTGATTTCACTTAGTTCAAATTCATTTGGCCTTTAAAAAATTTTCCAAAATGGGTTTTAATCAAACTTTATATACAAACTGTTGTACAATTATTTTTATGTGGCCTCTTAATAAAGTTCGCCAGCCCATGCTCAGCCAGCCCACCACCCCCCAAAAACAACAACAACAACAAAAAACAATGGGCAAAGTGTTAAGCACTTCTTAGAAAAAGCAGGAATAGTAAGTACACAAAAATATGCTCATTGTCCTTGGCAATATGGGATAATGCATTCTAAAATGGTAGGATATATTTACATCCATCAAATTGGAAAAAAAATTATTTCATCTCTGAATTGCTCCAGAAGGTTGTGTGTGTACATGTCTGTGTGTGTTTTGGAAGAGGAGTTTGCTGACCTCACCACCTAGATATAGTGAGCAAACATGGTGTTTTTTGAGAAAAGTTAGATTTCATTTTTATGTTTCTTGGTCAACAAGAGCAACCACCAGAAATGGTACTAAAACATCAAATTATCTACTTTTCTCCCCCATATTTTTAATTTAACGAGAACTTCTGGAAAATTTGCATTTTCCCTCCTTGTAAAGGGAGAGGTGAGATTTGTACAGAGAGGGAAGGACCAAAGCTGGGTGTGCCTTGAGTGCGTCACGATTTCCTTTGGCGCCTTATGAGGAACTCTGGGAACAGGGGTTAAGATTGAGGAGAAACGGTTCTGTTCTCGCGTTGCACAGCTCTCACTGAGAAGCTTGTGTGGAATTCCCTGGGCGCCCCCTGCTCTTCCCTCACTGTGCTCCCTGCTCCCCTCAGCTCTTTCACGGTCTGCTCGCCCTGTCGCGTCTCAGCTCCGCAAAAGTCAAACCTCTGCGCAAAGGGAAACTCGGCTCTTGGAGCCAAGGGAGAGCTGGCTTGTGAGGAAAGAAGTCCCTATTCCTGGTTCCTGACTGGTGTCCTCATGCAAATGAAGACTTTAAATTTTTACATTTTGATTGGTTCAAGACACTGTTTTTGGTCAGAGTAAAGGTGCTGATTGGCTGCAGAAAGCCTCAGTCCTAGTGGCTGTAATAGGATTCTAGGAACTCCTTTATAAAGATGGCTCAGCGGGAAGAAACGTGTGCCGGCAGCCAGAGGCAGGCTGCTCAGCAAGGGGAAAAGGGGAAGGTACCTGTGCGGAAATGGCTGCTAGGTTCTTTCCTTTTTTTCTTTCCTTTCCCTTTCCTCTTTTTCCTTTTTTTTTCTTCCTTCTTTCTTTTGCTTACAATTTTAGCTCAGTTTGCCGCCGGGGCCCTTCTTAGTAGGTGTCTTCTTTATCACAATTCACAGAGTGAGCTTTTGCTTCACAGCACTGTGTGCCATTCTCCGTCCATCTTACTCCAAACGTGTTTGCCACCCATTCCTGGTGTGGAAATGCTCACAGCCTGTTCTTGGTTCGGTCGGTGTTCTTTATGTTAGATTCCCTTCTCAACAGGGGCCACGATCATTAAAGCACAGCAGGTGACAATAAAGATAAGTTCAAGGCAAACAGGCCACTGGCTAGATGCTGTACCTGAGTATAAGAAAAGTGATTAGCTTCTTGAAACTCACCTTTAGGGAACTTATCAGGAGATCGGGTGGCTGCTAACTTTCCAGAGACCCTACCGATACATTATTTGTGTACCTGTAGGAGACAGATACACAAAATAATGAAAAAGGGCCATTGGATAAAAAAATGATTTTATTTCCAGGAAGGCCTCAGAGTGATTCGGGAGGGCAGGAGGTTACACGGTGTCAGTGAGTCCCCTGCTTTTCAAAGGACATGTCAGGCAAGGCCGCATTGCGAGTTCCCATTTGGAGGGTTAGAGAGCGCGTTGGGAACCCAAGGGACTCTGCCCTGACGCTCTTCTCCACGTCCTGGGGCGCGCGAGAGGGCGCTGCGCAGTCACAGAGTCCCGGGAGCTCTCTGGAGTTGCGCCTGGACGAGTTCCCGGGAAGTTCGGCTCACAGCCGGCGCGGGCCCCTCGGATCGCCCACGTTCCTCTCGGGGCGCGCAGACCCATGGTTCATCCACGAAACCGCGTGTCTGGGGGTGGACGGGGAGACCCCTCCGTCCTGCCGCCCAGGACCGCGCTGCTGCACTAAAGCTCCTGTTAAACTCATCAGCCAGCAAGCTGGACTTGGGTCCCTTCTGTGCTGGCGGCCGCTGGGCGCTCGCGGGGCTGACCACACAGGGGATGGGGACCACGCGGAAGGTGGGCCGGGGCGGGTCTCACGTGCGCTGAGCCACAGGCGTGGAAAAAGCAGCCACCGCGTGCGCCGCTCTGCTCTGACACGCGGGGAAGGCGGAGGGGACACCCTCCGGCCCCGGCCGGCCCCCGGGCCCTGCCCCCTGAGCGGCGCAGACCCGGCTGCGAACAAAACTACCGCGGACACACGGGAACCGAGCGCGGGCCCCAGCTCACTGTCTGGCTAACGAGGGGCCCCGCGAGGGGAAAAACACGGGCCTCGGGCCTGAGGGCGGCACGGCCACGGCGCGCGGAGCCCAGCAGCCCGGCTAGCCACAGGGAGCGGGGCTTTAGGGACCGAGTGCCCTTTCCTTATCGCCATAAACGCGTCGCCAACGCCCCGTTCACGCCAGGCACCGAGGGAACCCGAGCAACGTGACCTGAGCGACTGCCTCCGGCCCCTGGACACAGGGGTGGCAACCCCGGCGGGGAACACACCGCGTCTAAGGCCAGGGCCCCGGGCCCCACAGCGCCGCGGCCCCACCCGCCCCGCAGGAACGCGTCCGACGACCCCGCTCACGCGGCCGCCGGCCGGGTGCCCCACAGGTCAAGGCCAAGCGGGGCGCAGTCCTGCCGCAAACAGGCGCGGCGGCTGGCCCGTCCCTGACCTTCGGGGTCTTCCCGCCTGGAGGGGAGCGCAGGCCAAGGGGAGGACGCCTGGGCCCGTCGGGGTCCCCTCGGAGGGTGGCCCACGGGGGACGGCTCGAGCCCGCAGGCGGAGGGACCGCCCGCCGCGACCTCCCCGCCGGGGCGGCCGGGGCGGCCCGGGCGCCGCCGACCCCGCCGTCCCAGGTCACGACAGGAGGCGCCCGGAGGCCCCGCACTCACCGAGTGTCCAGGCCGTCCCCTCGCGGGTGGGCGGCCGGAGATCCGCGGGCAGGAAGGCCGCGAGCTGGGGATGCGCTTCCGGGGCCCGGGCCGCGTCTCCCCTCCTGCGCCGGCCCGACTCCGCACCCGCGTCAGCACCACAGCCCCGGGCGTGCAGGCAGGAGGAGGGTGCAGGTGTTTGTGAGGGCGTGAAATTTAAAAAATTAAGCGAAATCGTTTTTTAGGAATTTCATTCCGAGCGTGGGGAAAAAGAAAAGAGACCACCGGCTGTTTCCGCCCGGTTTCGAACCGGGGACCTTTCGCGTGTGAGGCGAACGTGATAACCACTACACTACGGAAACGCTGCCAAAAGCGCCGCCGGGATCTCCCTCTTCACCTCACGAACTCCGCCCTCCTGCCTAACGCGCCAGGCTCGCCGTGTGCGCCTGCGCACGTCAACCCCCGCTCCCAACCCTCCTGCTTACACCGGAAATGATCGGATCCGGGAAAACAAAAGAGAGGCTCCGGTCTTTGTGACTGACCCTTCATTATTACCGGGGTCCCCCAACCTGAATCTCCACATCTTAATTGCTTCCCCTTTGACTGAGGCTCCTTCACCCCCGCCACCCTTCGCCGGGGTGCATGGCTGCGGGCGCACCGCGGGGACGGCGCCGGGACCGGCTGCGCGAGGAGGCTCCCGCCCCGGCTGCGGCGCCTTTTTCCCCCGGCGAGCTCCTCCGGGGTCCGCAGAGAAGGAAGTAAAATGAAGCTGCGTCCGCCGAGCCAGCCAGGAGTCGAACCTGGAATCTTCTGATCCGTAGTCAGACGCGTTATCCATTGCGCCACTGGCCCATGCGAGGACTCGCTGGCGACGTGTTTTCTTCATCAGAAACCAGACGGCGGGCGCGCCCGTCGGAGGCCGGACGGCGGCGCCCTTTCCCCGCCGAGCCTGCGGGCCCGCCGGAGCCGGGTCTCCGCACCCCCGGGTCCGCGGCCCTGGCAGACGTGCGCCCGCTCTCCCGGTCACACCAGCCCCTGGCCCTGCGAACGGAAAAGGGCCCAGTAATAAATCAGTGACAGGCAGTAACCTTACGCGGTGATCTGATCACAAGCTCCTGACAGGGCGGGCCGTGGGGGTGAGTCGCGCCCGGTCTAGGATTCTTTACTACAAGGGTATTTTCGCCTTAAGCAGACTTTGTCCATGGTCCTTGTGCGTCTGAGTTTACACTCATCTGAAACGCCAAAAGTAATTCTCTCCCTCCGGCCCCTGGGAGGCGAAACCAGCCTCCAGGGAGTACACGGCCGTGTTAACTCGCCTGCATCTCGTTTTCTCCCACCTTCTCTCCCTTGTTCCCAATGCAGACAACCTATAAAACTGTCATTCTCCAGAGCATCTGAGATCTTGCTTCCCCGTGTGTCAGTTTGTCTCAAACTCATAAAAATTCGCTACAGCTTGCGATTGTTCGGGCTGGGGTTCCTTTCTCGGCAGAGGAGGCAGCCCAGTCCCTCTTCGCCCCAGCATCACCTCCCTCCGTCCTGCACCATCTGACCCATATTTACGGCTCAGTAAGTAAAATAATGCTGGTGAGAGCTTGGAGAAAAACGAAGCAAAACTTCGTGGAGAAATAGAAAAGCCCAGCAGGGAAGATATGGACGACAGACTAATGATCTGCATTACAGATATTGGGGAGCAGAGCGATCTGGGAGCGGCTTAATCCTCAGGGAAAGGCCTGAAAGTGGGAGCCAGCTTAGGCCAGTCCAGTAACGTGAGGGGCCAGTGCTGAGTGGACAGGGGCAGCAGCCTTGGGACAGGACCTGGGCCTCGCAGGCCTGTGTAAGGACTTGGGCTGCTACTCTAGGAAACTGGAAGCCATTGTAGAGTTGCACGATCTGACTTTCTTGTCTCTTCTTGGGTCGTTAAGAGAAGTTATTTTTTAAAATTTACTAAGCAAGACTGAGCTAAGCACCCTCTCTGCCTGCGACCTACATCTCAGAACAGGACACCTTGGAAAACAGCTGGCACACACATGAATGCTCACTTGTTTACTTGCCCAGGAAACCCAGAAGTGTTTCTTGCATGTGCGTTTCAGCCTCTCCACGTTTCTGAGGAGGAAGCATTATTCCCAGGCCCCAGGAGCGCAGTGAATCACGCGAGAGGTACTAAACAGATGGGGTAAACCTACCTGACACCGAGAACGGATACACTGAGATTAGAGAATACTTGTCTTCAGTTGGTGAGGTCGCCACAGTCCTTACGAAAAATACTCGTGTTCCTGCTCTTACTAAGGTGGACCTAGTCATGGTTTCTTCTCTGGACCACAGCACAGGAGTCATCTGTCCAGGTTTTGTTCTGTCCCGAAGGGCAGTTTGGTGGTTATGGACTCCATTCTGGAATAATAGTTTTAACTATGCATAAAAAGATGAATCCATAAGATTTCAGAAGGAAACCAAATATATTGAAATATGCTCTTAAAATATTAAAAATTATGGTACAGTAATATTTGTGCTCCTTTACTAATGCACTAAATGACAAGACCAGTAGAACATCTGATAAATACTGAAATTTCAAAGCAGTAATGAGCATAATGATATTTTAAGAAATTTGGGACGTCAAATTTGGAAGAAAATATTTGTGATTTCCAAGAGTGGTAAAGTAAAAACTGCTAAAATACACCTGTGATTTGTTGCCTATATTCATAATGGAAGAAAACACAAAATTTCAGTGATTACTTGTTAAGTAGTCAATATTATATTTTCCCATCGAAGTTCATGAACTACTCCATTTTCATTTTCTTTCCCAAGCAAATGGAAAATGGCACTGTTGGCCACTCCCACGTTTCTTTACATTGTTGCCAGAGTCTGTGACTCAGAGATCGGTGCCTTCTCCAAGGTCAAGTGTGTGGAACAAAGCCAGGACGAGAGGCCTTTCCCTGGCCCTTGACGGTCACACTGGGTACTGAGTAGTAGATAGTGTCCATGCCCAGATTTCTGGAAGTGATTGTTCTAAGTCTCAACTTTCTCCCAAGACTTGCCTGGGGCTTGTTAAACAACTTTGACTTCCCAGAATTTCTGGGCCAATTTTGACAGCTGCCAGTCAAAGGAAAAACGCAAACCAGATACAGCAGGTTCTGCTGTCTTTCTGAAAGTCTGCCACAGTTTGGCCAAAGCCATACTGGCTCCAAGCACGTTGATGATATGATGGCTCATCTTATAATATTAAAGAAATAGGTGCTTATTTCATGGCGTTTCAAACCAACCGTGTGTTGAGTTCACTGACTCCCAAATTTTAACAAAAATAAATCCAGCAGAGTCACACAGCCCCCACTCATGTAGGTAGGCAGAAGTAAGTGCCTTATAGTGTTTCAGAGAAATCCTTCAAATATTGGTACAGTTGATTTCAGCATTATCACCCTAACAACAGATATCAAGCAAGACCTGCAATCATAATTACAGGCCTTATCAGGGAAGATACTTTCGCAGCTCCGGCGCCAAGTTGTAAACTGTTTGGAGTTTCACTGAAGCCATTTGTTCAAATTATATTCCCAAGGACAGGTTTACTTTACAGAGCACAGAATGAATCGGGAACAGTTATGAATCCTTACACAAGCCCCCATAACAAAGTAGAAATTCTTGCGAAAGCTCTCAGTGTGTCATCTCATCAAAAACAGACCCCTTGACAAGAAAGCGTCTCTCCCTCCGGGGCTGCAGAGGAGAGGGGATCGCTCTTCCATTTCTTTCCAAGACTAGGTTTTAATTGGCAAGCCTTGTATGTTCAAGGTGCAACGCTGCAATTGCATCGGTTAACAGGATAAGCTAGAGGCAGGCATTCGGAAAGCAAATACACGCAAAGGCTTGTGGTAAGGAATGGCTGGAATTTTAATTAAAAACCGTGACATAGAGAATATAGAGCTTGCTTCCTGCACGGCCCAGTTCTAGGGGCTGGAAGTGTCCTACTGTCCAGGTGTCACGGTGTCACACGACCCGGAGGCGTGTCCCCGAATGAGTGTGACTGGTCCTCTCTTCCCACGCCCACCCCGCGCCGAGGAGGCTGTTGTCCTGCAGCTGCGCGGCTTCTTGGGTCTGCCGGGGCGAGGGGGAGGTTCATCTTCAGAGTCTGGGGAAGCCGCCGGGCTGCTCCTGACTCTCGTGCGGGAGGACAAATCAGCCCACCGAACAAAAGCAACGCTCTTCCTCTTTCCTCATCGATTTGGACAGGCGCCGGCGTGCCGGCTCCGTGGCTTAGCTGGTTAAAGCGCCTGTCTAGTAAACAGGAGATCCTGGGTTCGAATCCCAGCGGGGCCTTTTTGTGGCTTTTCCCCTTCCCGCGGAGGGGATGGACGATCGCACTGCAATCTGAAGGGCACCTTTCCCCATGGAGTTTCACAGCAACGTTTTACGCGGGGCTGCAGATGGTTATTATTTACAAGAACAGGATTCGAAGAGGAGTAGTTCTTTTGAAGGAAACTTCCATCCTCCCTGTTCTTGTATATTTGTGCCACACACATCTTTTCCGCAAGCACAAAAGGAACCGGGGAAAGCGGAAGGCAGAGCCGCCCGAGTTACACGACCAGCAGCATCGCAATCCCCGGCGCGGTGCCGTTCCCGAGGAACCCCCGGCGGACGCCCTGCCGCAGGCCCAGGCAGCGTTCCCCCTGCAGGCAGGGGCGCTGCGGAGCAGGCCGCAGCACCCGGGCCGAGCAGCCGCCGAAGCGACCCCAGACCTCAACATACCCGTAGGGGGCGGGGGTCTTGCTGCTGGTTCTGACTTTATCTAGCTGTGCGCTAAAGACTGAATGGATATTACACTGCAGTAAATAGTTTTAAGAAGAAAGCAAAAGGATGAATAGTTTCTGTGTCTAGTACACCCGGAAAGAGGGCGCCTGACACCAGGCTTCCAGCAACTTCTGGGGCCATCCCTGGGAGGTTTCTGAAATCACAGCGTCACGGATTCTGCCTCGGGTGAGGCAGGCAGGCTTTGGCCAAGCGTTTGGCCGGGTGACACTTCTTCACGAGATCCAGAAGCAAAGCCAGGATTACTAAGATAACTCCCCCAGGGCACTGGCACTTGGCGCCAGCCCGAGGGGGCCTCCAGGCTCGTCAGACGAGGTCTGGGGCGGGCGGGGGGCGGGGGCGCCCAGGCCCGAGGCCACAGCTGGGGAAAGGAAGGGCACAGGTGTTTCCGAGGAGCCTGTGCCAGCTCAGTGCCGTGCCTGGCGACCGTTTTCCTCGAAGGGGAAAAGGGAAGGGGAGGGGAGTCGGCTGATTAAAATCTGGGACCGGTTTCCTTTCTGTTCTCAGCGCGGGGTCCCTGTGGCAGCCGGGTCTGTTCCAGGTGAGGTTTCACACTCACATTTCAGGG